GGGTTCCTCCTCTGTTGTCTCAACGGATGCCTTCTTGGGCTTCGTTGTCTTGGAGAGCTTCTTCTTTGTCCAGGAAGGCTTTTGACCTGAAGGCGCATTTTGCGATGGGTGAGATTTTTTGCCGGGCATAATGTTGATGCTGGCTGAGTGAATGTGTGAGTATCTTCTTACGTGACCCGCTGAAGGAACTCTGAAATGATTTGGATCTTGGTTCAGTTCATTCGGTGCAAGATCAGATAGTCAGTATTGAAGATCCTGTAAGAAGATACAAATTTACTGGTTGGGGTGAGGCATTGTGGGATATTTCTACTGCAGGCTACAGCGCGGTTTGCATGATATACGGCAGGCCTCTAGTACATTGTGCATCAGTCAGACGCCGTGCCTACCTACGTTAGTTACCCTGATAATCAGAGCCAGTCAAATGGGCTCAGCAGCCAGAAATCCGCTGTACAAGCATTCCAACATGTTCCCGAATCCGCCTGGAGGTATCATTCAGATGTCGAACAGGATTTCTGGCCCTGGACGCCTTCTCCCGACCAGGCTCGGCCGGGTTGGGTGATTCGTTGGGCTAAATAGACGTGTTCAACCCGAGAGTCTTCACCGAAGGCCCCGCCTTTCGGACAGACTCGCAAATCCCATTCGCGCGGTTAAATTATCCGCCGGGTGTGGCTAATTCACTCAACACACAAATGGGCTTGGGGCCAGGCCTGGCTGAAGCCATCGTGAGGTTGCTCGGCGTATGGACGGAAATGTGAGCGAGCGGACGAGTCCCGGTACATGCGCCGCAGTGAGGAAGTCCCGAAAGCACGCACAGGATCTGCAGGGGTCCTAGCAGTAAAATGTGCCCCCCTAGTAACCTTCGCCTCCGATGTCGACGCGATAGCCTATCGAAAAGCCAGCCCTGTGATGCGACGATATCCGCGGACGAACTGGCCTGGCACTGCCCATATCTTCGGGTGGGATGCCACTCAGGTCGGACGTCAAAGAATCGCCACAGAATTCTCTTCACACATTGTAAACCCCCCCCCCCCCCCCCCCCAGCTCGTCATGTTTCTGCTTGACTCTGCAGATGACGTACTGTCTAGGCCGTTCGTTCGTGGTTGTCGATACCTTGATGGAGCCTCTGCGGAGTTACCATAAACCACATACCTATACAACTGTGCCAACTCTTAAGGTGGTGGAACAGTGAAGAAGATCTGGCACTGACTCAAAAGGAGGAGCGATGACATAGCTCGGACCGCCGACAGCGGGGAAGAGTGGCACTGGTATGGGCCGGACACCGGACACGCTGGACCTAGGTGGGGGGTTTGGCTGCTTGCCGTTAACGTTTCGGCGGCCTACTCGCTGGCTGGTTGCTGAGTGAGCTAGCTCCCTTGTTGGCCACCCGGTAAGGTCGGTGATGTGAGGACAAATCGCCGTGGAGTTGGTGTGCACGCGGAATGCCGCCTCGAGTGCATAGCACTAATTTTGTTCCTCGACACTCTATCGACCACGGTCAATCGAGCTCAGAGGCGGCCAATGGTGTCGTTAGCACACGAGGCTGGTGTGCAAGATGGCCAGAGAATAGGGAGATAACAACAGGAGATGTGACGGAAATGTCAGACCCGTCGCGGGCGGCTGGCGGGCATCGCGGAAAAGACGCACCCAAGACGGTGAGGTGGATGAGCGCTGTTCGATGGCATTTACGTCGAGTGGATGATATGATAGCGCCGGCCCCACCAGTCCGAGACGGCCTCAGCGTCTCGAAATGCGTGTTGAGGGATTGGGGGGGGGGGGGGGGCGCGAAAATGTGCAAGTACGAGCTGGGTGAATGAGAAGTCAGCTAGCCAGCTTTGTCACCGTAACGTGCTTCGGACGCCATTGACCTTGGTGGGAGGAGGGTGATCATCTCGCTCGCTCGCGCTCTGCTCTTCCCGGCAGGCGTTGCTCAGTGGGCAGTGGCACTGCACCCCCACCATCATTCTGCCCCTCCTCCACCCCTCCACCCCTCCTTCCCAACCTATCCACGGCCCAGCTAAATATCCTTCCAACCTACCTACCCGCGTAATCTCTCATCATCTTTCCTGCATCACCAATTCTTCCGTGAAGTATCACATTTTTTTTTTCCCATTTGAAGCTTCATTTTTTCGAGGCTCTCCAGAAGAATACCGCAATCATGGGCTACACCGATCAAGACTGGAAGGCGATCAACACGATCCGCACGCTCGCCGTGAGTTCCTCCCCCTCCCAACTCGACCCCGCCATCCTCGATGCCCCGCCGTCGTCACACATCGTCACCGCGCGGTCCTTGTGTGGTGCCGACGAAAGCATCGCAGCGAACCTTGCAACGCTCAATTCCTCCGCGCGGACCTCCAAATACTGATGTGAATTCGTTTCAAGGTCGATGCCACCTTTAACAGCAACTCGGGCCACCCCGGCGCGCCCATGTAAGTTTCTCCGTCGACATTCCTCCACACCTGGCTGAACAAGCATCACTGACAAGATTCTTCACAGGGGTATGGCGCCCGTTGCCCACGTCCTGTGGAAGAACATCATGAAGTTCAACCCCAAGAACCCCAAGTGGCTCAACAGGGATCGCTTCGTTCTCTCGTATGCTGGTTCTGCCCATCCCCCCATCGCGCCTCTTCTAACTTTCTGCCTTCAGCAACGGCCACGGCTGCATGCTCCAGTATGCGCTTCTTCACCTCTTCGACTTCGGTCTGACCATCGACGACCTGAAGGCCTTCCGCGTAAGTAATCCCGTTCGACCATCCATCGCTGCTGCATCACACACTCACACCTGTCTTCAGTCCGTCGACAGCATTACGCCCGGCCACCCCGAGGCGCACGACACCCCCGGTGTTGAGGTCACCACTGGCCCTCTCGGCCAGGGTATTTGCAATGCCGTTGGCCTGGCCATGGCCCAAGCCCACACTGCTGCCACGTTCAACAAGGATGGCTTCAACCTGGTTGACAACTACACTTACTGCTTCCTTGGTGACGGCTGCCTGATGGAGGGTGTCTCTGGCGAGGCTTCTTCCCTCGCTGGTCACCTCCAGCTCGGCAACCTCATTGCCGTCTGGGACGACAACCACATTTCCATTGACGGTGACACCAACGTCGCCTTCACTGAGGACGTCATCAAGAGGTACGAGGCGTACGGCTGGCACGTCGTCTCCGTCTCTGACGGTGACAACGACCTCGAGGGTATCGAGGCCGCCTTCAAGAAGTGCCAGGAGGTCAAGGACAAGCCTTCCCTGATCGCTCTGAGGACCACTATCGGCTTCGGCTCCAAGCAGCAGGGCACCCACGGTGTCCACGGCTCTCCCCTCAAGGCCGACGATATCAAGCAGCTCAAGGAGAAGTTCGGCTTCAACCCCGACGAGAGCTTCGCCGTCCCCCAGGAGGTCTACGATGCCTACAACAAGCACGCTGCCGAGGGTGCCGCCGCCGAGGAGGAGTGGAACAAGCTCTTTGCCAAGTACGGTGAGAAGTTCTCTGCGGAGCACGCCGATCTCGCCCGCCGCCTCACTGGCGACCTCCCCGAGGGCTGGGAAAAGAGCCTGCCTGTCTACACCCCCGCCGACGCGGCTGTTGCCTCTCGTAAGCTTTCTGAGATCGTTCTCTCCAAGGTTGAGGGCGTTCTCCCCGAGCTTGTCGGTGGCTCTGCCGATTTGACCGGCTCCAACCTGACCAGGTGGAAGGAGGCCGTCGACTTCCAGGCTCCTCAGACCAAGCTCGGTGACTATGCCGGCCGCTACATCCGCTACGGCGTCCGCGAGCACGCCATGGGTGCCATCATGAACGGTCTTGCCGCCTACGGCACCATCTTGCCCTACGGCGGTACCTTCCTCAACTTCGTCTCGTACGCTGCCGGTGCCATCCGTCTCTCTGCTCTGTCCCAGGTCCGCGCCATCTGGGTCGCCACCCACGACTCGATTGGTCTCGGTGAGGACGGTCCCACCCACCAGCCTATCGAGACACTTGCCCACTTCCGCGCTCTCCCCAACTGCATGGTCTGGCGCCCTGCCGACGGCAACGAGACCAGCGCTGCCTACTACGTCGCCCTCACCTCCAAGCACACGCCTAGCATTATTGCCCTGTCGCGCCAGAACCTGCCCCAGCTCGAGGGCTCTGTCCTGGAGAAGTCTGTCAAGGGTGGATACGTGCTGCACGAGGAGGAGGGTGCCGATGTCACCCTTGTCTCCACCGGTTCCGAAGTTTGCATCTGTGTTGATGCCGTCAAGGAGCTCAAGGAGAAGCACAACATTAAGGCTCGTGTCGTTTCCATTCCTTGCTTCGAGGTCTTCGATGCGCAGTCCAAGGAATACCGCCTCAGCGTCCTGCCCGACGGCATTCCCTCTCTGTCCGTTGAGGTCATGAGCACCATGGGCTGGGAGCGTTACACGCACGAGCAGTTTGGTCTCAACCGCTTCGGTGCCTCCGGCGCTTACAAGGACGTCTACAAGGTATGTCATCGTCTTTGTCCTGCTGCGCTGTTCGGAGCTAACAACCGCTTTAGAAGTTCGAGTTCACTCCTGAGGGCATCGCCAAGCGCGCGGTTGCCACCATTGACTTCTGGAAGGACGTTCCCAACATCCGCTCCCCCATCAACCGTGCGTTCCAGCAGCTCATCTAAGCAATTGATTCGGGAAAGGATAAGGATACCAAGCGTTCAGAAAATTGAGACATGTGCTTTGATGATGCCACGTTGGACGGGAATCGGGTAGATGACTTTTTTTTCATACTTCGAGATAGAGGAACTGAAATGAAAATGATGATTTAGCAAGCTCATAGCGTACCGGCAATGGTCATCGGGGCGTGATTCATGTATTTCCATTAAGTGTCGTGATGGTCATCTAATCGTCCAATTCATTCGGACTGTCTGCAACAAACAGACCCCAAGTAGCTTTCCAAGGCATTCGAGGAGGCATGGTGGCCACCCTGTCACATTTCTTCGTCCTTGCTTCTTCCTGTCTCCGGATGCGCGTTCGCAAGCCCGCCAAGCTCAACATGGCATTTCAACCACTTTCGTCGCTGTCGTAGCGCCTGTTCTCCTCGACGGTCCACTCGCGCTGGACTTCCCTCGCGACGCGCTCCAGTCGGACGGCCGCGCGCCGGGCCTCGAGCGCCTCCTCGGCTGTGCCGGCCACGACGAGGCCTATGAGCATGGGCGCCGCGTCGGCGGCGGACGTCTCGAGACCGTCCTGCGCGCTGCGACTGTGAGGAGCTGTCTGTTTCCTCTTGGCGGGAGGCGTAGCTGCTGCTGCTGCTGATGATGCTGCGCGGCCCGAGTCGCGAGTGTGCGGCCTGCTTCGCGGGGGCGGGACACCGTTGGGACGGGATGAGGTCGTGGCGGTGGCGGTGGGGTCGGAGCCGGAGCCGGAGCCGGCGCTCGAGAGGGTGACGGCGGCGAGGAGGTCTGTCGGGGGCGCGAGGGCGGAATGGGCCAATGTCGAGGGGGACGGGTCGGCGGCGGCGGCGACGGCAGCGGGATTCAGGGAGGAGGAGGCTGCGGGCGGCCCCGTGACGACGATGCCGCCGGCGCCGGTGGATGGGGAGCCGGCGCGACGGGGGGATGTCGCCGAGGAGGCTATGCGTGCCGCGGTGGGGGTGTGCGCGGGCGAGGAGGACAGGGCGGCGGCTGGATCGAGGTAGGAGGTCAGGACGACGGGGGCGCCGGGGCCGTGCTCGACCATGAGGCGCTGGGGGTGGCCCAGCGCGAGGCGATGGGCGGCGGCGTGGGCGGTCAGGGAGGTTGTCGCGAGGGACGTCAGGGCCTCGAGCTGGGTGTCTGAGCGGGCGGATGTGAGGATCGGGTGGAGATTGCGGTCGGAGAGGTGGAGGGAGAGTGTGGGATGCTGCGAGGGTAGAGAGGTCATGTTGGCGGCCGGTCTCTAGCGATGGTCGTGGGGTGTGAAGAGGGTTCGATGGCCAGGAGAAGAAGCAACCCTCTCGCTGGTCAGCACCGGGGCGAGGTTGCGAGCAGTCGGACTGAGAGTTCTGCGCGGCAATCGAACGAGGAGACTGTTGGAGCGTAGAAAAAAAGCAGTGCGGCAAGAAAGCAGTACGGCAGAGGAGAGAGGCGAGACCAAGGGGGATGAGCTCGGGAGATAAGGGAAGGAGGAATGAGGAAGGAGGTGGAAGGAGTGGAGGCAGAAGGTCGGGCGCAGGATGACGATGGTGCGATGATGCTGGAGAGCTAAGGTGCTAAGGTGCTCGGTGATAGGTGCTAGGTGCTAGGTGCTAGGTGTTGGGTGCTGGGTGCTGGGTGCTGGGTGCTGGGTGCTGGTGCTCGGTGGTCCAACGGGAGAGCTTGCATCAAATGACTCCTGGCGCAGGAGCAGGTACCGACCGACCCCGCCGATTTACCCCGCCATCAGGGACCAAGGGTGCTGCTGCTGCTCCTGTACTACTACTCCTGCTGTTGCTGCTGCCAATACTACTACGTATTTGGACGTGGCTTGGTTTGCCTGCATGAGAGAATCGGCGGAGGAGGTTGCTTGTCCGTGTTGCTCGGATGCCCTGCCAGCAGATCTCCCACGTTTGGGATGGACGTTATGTTATGGTGGAGTGGGTATGGCGTGTTGTGCATCAGACTACGAATGGATCCGGCGTTGACAGATCTCACGAAATCTGGAGGCGGCTGAACATGACACACAAAGGCCAATTGTGAGGTGACTGGTGGTGGAAATGGCGGAATTTTGGATGGAAATGGGCCGGTATGTACTTCTTTTTTTTCCCACCACCCGCCCTCCCAGGTCCATCTGAACAACACGAGGAGGCAGCCGGGGAGAGCTCAGAAACCAGCCCCCCACCCCTGAGGCGGCGTAGCGTGCCGGGCGGGGAACGAACGATGCCCCAGTAGTGCTCGTGCTCACGTAGCTATGACGGTGGCACGGCAAATGCAGATGCATCCAACGAATCGAGGGGTGCCGACGCGGGAGGGGAGGGAGAGGAGGGCTGTGGCCGTGGACAGCTGCAGCTGCAGCTCTGCAGAAGCAAGAACAAGCGCAGAGAGGGGCAAGACGGTTCGAGCCAGGGTCAGAGGAGCCTGACCTTGCTTTCGACACATGCTACTGCAAAGCCAATTGACGGGCCCGCCGTGCGGTCGTTTGTCGCGCCAACAAGCAAGTCGGCCCTGGAGACGATAAGCTGGGCGACCGGAGAAGTGAACGCGGAGGCGGACGCACCACCCGCGCGCGGGGGGGGGCACGCCGATGGGGACCGATACGGTGTGCCCGCCATCCCCGTCTGAGCTGCCCTGAACCAATTGGTCCTCCGCGAGAAAGGTTTGGGAATCGTCGAATCCGTCAGTCCTGACCGGCTCTATGGCAATACCGCCTCGCAGCAGTGCCGGTGACAACCGAAGTCTGTGGGTGCAGAAGCGTGCCTACCACATGGCTCCTAGTTCGTGTCAGCAGTCTGTGTCTCGCAAGGTTGGACAGAGGTGCTCGATGATGAGAGGTATAGGCTCTGCAGACGGGAGCTCGTCGTGCGGCCAGGCCAGAGACACACTGCGTCTCGATCTGGCAGTCCGGTACCGTGTCTGAGGTTTTGAGGAACAACCAGTTCGTGTGGTCCGAAGCCAGTGTCACTGGCGCATTGGCGAATGCGAGCAGTGCCGAGATAAGGCAATGTGTTGCTTGCGGGCTTGTGGCTACGATCTAGAGCCTTGTCGCAGCCCAGCAGCTCTCCCACCCCGGCTTGTTTGTGTCACTTGCAGGCGGCACGTCGAGGCACGCTGCAATGTACAGCTGTCACTCGACAATGACGGTGAGCGCTGCAGGCAGGCAGGCAGGCAGGCAGGCAGGCATGATGAGACTGCTGGGAATGATTGCCAAGGTCAATGGTAGTGAAGCTGGAAGGCTATCAATGAGTGAACGAACAGATAAAAGGCTCACTTGACGTTGAAACTGACGTTGGTGAATGACGTTGAACTCGGACGCCCTGCCACAGGGGAACGAGTCCAGCGATGATCCCCTACCGCTTAGGGGAGGAGGCGCCGCTGATGTACCCGGTACCGCCTCGCTGCCTGGGTCGCTCACCACATGGCAGGTACCAGTTCAATCGCAGCCAGCCATGCACAACTGCAACCCTGAGCTGTCAAAGGGACAGCTATCACCAAGCTCCCTAGAATGAGGGAGGGCCCTTCGACATCCACAATACCACCAACACCAGCTTGTCTCATCACGACAGCCAGCATACACACATTCCCTTGCCCAACAAACAGACCCGACCACATTCAGCACATCTGCAGCATGGCCGACGACGAGAAGACAAAGGCCGAGAAGCTTGCTGCCGCGAAGAAGCGCGTCGAGGCCATGAAGAAGAAGAAGAACAAGAAGGCTGCTGGGTCGTCCAAGACGAAAGAGGAGGCAGAACCTGCTGCTGCGGCCGAGGCCGAGGCCGAAGCTGCGCCTGCCGAGGAGAAGCCGGAGGAGAAGGCTGACGAAGCTGTCGAGGAGAAGAACGAGGAGGCAGTCGAAGACACCAGGCCCGATACAGAAGAGCCCAGCACCGAAGACCGTCCCGCGTCCCCATCCCAAGCACAACCCTCACTGGCCCAGCAGTCCAAATTACGATCAGCTTCTTTCCGCAAGGGGTCCATATCCACCGGTGTCACCGGGCCTCTGTCGCCTGGCCCGTTCAGCCCCGATGGCGAGTCGGCGACCGACATTTATCGAAAGCACGTCACACGCATAGAGGAGCTGGAGAAGGAGAACAAGCGGCTCGCCAAAGACGCCACGGAATCGGAGAAGCGATGGAAAAAGGCTGAGGAGGACCTTGCCGACCTGCGTGAGGAGGACGGCGACGCCAGCGCGAAGCCGCCTGCGTCGGACGAACAGGTCGACCAGCTCGTACGTCTATCACGGGCAGCCTGCTGCCTTGTTTTTGCCGCCCCATCCACACATGTTGCTGACACGATCCATACACACAGAAGTCTGAAATCGCGGCGCTCGAACGCCAAAATTCCCAGCTCCAGCAGCAAGTCTCCCGGGGCACGGCACGTCATGGATCCTCCCCGTCGTCCACCACGGGCTCGCCGCCCGCCGTCGCCGAGCTTGAAGCCCGCCTGATCGATAAGTCAGCCACGATCGAAACGATGGAGCTCGAGATATCCAAGCTCCGCGCCCAGCTCGAGCGCAGCACCTCGGACCGCGAACAGATCCCCGCTCTCGAAGAGCGGGTGGCCCGCTCGGAGAAGGCCGCCGGCCTCGCCCAGCGTGAGCTCGCCGACCTCCGCCGCAACCTCGACCGCACCGCCGAAAAGGCCGTCCGCGAGGGCAGCGAGCGCACGAGCGCCGAGACCAAGCTGCGCGCCCTCGAGCACGACCTCGCCGACGCCATCGCTGCGCGCCTCGAGGCCGAAAAGAAGGCCGACGGGCTGGAGAAGAAGGTGGCCACGCTGACGACGCTGCACAAGGAGCAGGACGCGCGGTCGCAGGCGATGCGCCGCGACAAGGAGCGCGCGGAGAAGGAGGTCCTCGAGCTCAAGACCAAGGTCGAGACCCTCGACGCCGAGGGCGCGCGCCTCCGGAGCCGCAAGTCGGCCGAGGGCGGCGGCGGCCTCGACGACGACGGCGTCGACGAGCTCGAGAACGAGGAGCGCCTACGCCTGGAGAAGAAGGTCCGCGAGCTCGAGAGCGAGAACCACGACCTGCGCCGCGGCCTGTGGCAGGACAAGAGGCGCCAGCTCAGCGGCGGGCAGGATGTCGCGAGTCCCGGGGGCGGCTTCCAGGACGTCGACCTCGGCGGCGCCTCGCCGCTGGCCGGGCGCAAACACGGCCAGCACGGTGGCGGCGGGCTCGGGGATTTCTTCCAGAGCGGCATCAACGCGCTCACGGGCCACGGCGGCGACGAGGACGGCTTCCTCGAGGATGACGATATAGACTTTGATGAGGACGCGTTCCGTCAGGCGCAGGCCGACGATGCCAAGGCGCGGCTCGAGCGCATCAAAGATATCAAGCGCGGGCTCAAGAACTGGGAAGGCTGGAGGCTGGACCTAGTGGAGATCCGCCGGGGCGGGGAGGAGGGCCATGGAGAAGTGTTCGAGGTGTAGGCTACCTAGTGTCTTGCCTACATTTCATGAACCCTAGTCCGTGGACAGAGCCTTGGCTATGTACTGTGTATGATGACACGCTTGGTCGAATGGTCTCTTGTCTCTGTCGCGCCAGTGAAAATGTGTATCGCTTCGCCCTGGGAACATTGCCTAGGACGCGATACGTTGCCCAGCTCGTCGTCACTTCATAGACTGCAATGTCCGCATGTTTGTGTGTCATCGCAGCCCCCCTCCGTCACAGGAGGGGGCGTGTCTTGTTCGCTACTCAGGGGAGATGGTCTAATCGTTACAGCAAGTAAAAAAAAACATGTTATCCGACACGGGACAGGCTTCGCCAACGCGGGGCCTCCATCCAAAAACAAAGTGCTGAACCAACCCAGCCGCCGGCCGGCCAAACCCATACATACAAGATTGGTGTGTCTGCAGGAGAGAAGGGGGGATATCATTGCGAAGCCAGATGCCGTCCTGTGCCAGTTCGCCTGTCCACCAAACGCCTGGCCCTAACACAGCCGGAGAGAAGAGACAGAGAGAGAGCGGGGGAGAGGAAAAGAGAGAAAAACAAAGCATTAAGTGTAGTGTGGTGGCTCCTGCCGAACCATCCCTCGCCAGAAAAGTGAGGGAGAACTGTAAACGCCATGTCCATGCATCGTTTCGTGAGGGAAGAAGAGATTTGCCTTTTCCCCTGAAAGTCTAATAATTGCCGCTTGGGTGATCGCGGCAGTGCTGGTGAGGGGCGTTTTCATAGAATCGTGGGGGAGAGTCGAGAGGTGGATATACAGAGTCGCCGGGCGGGATGTCCTACATCATGGAAGCCGTGGG